GGAGTGAAGACTACTGTCTGAACCTGACAAGACAGATTGGACCAGCCTGAAGATATGAAGACCGGGACCGAAGAGGAATATCTGGTGAGAAAAATCCCAGTTCTGCATTTCACCTACAACTATTTGGTCTTATTTGAGACAAGTGTGTAACTTTTAATGTCTGTATAGTTAGGTGGCTGCTGACTGATACAGTAGTGGGGAATTCTTCATAAACCTCACAAGAGAAGATTGGACCAGACTAGGTGATTTGAAGACCGACGATGACTCTTAGGTGAGAAAAATCTGAATTCTGCATTCAACCTACTATTTACTTTGTTATTTGAGACAAGTGTGTAACTTTTAATGTCTCAGTTAGGTGGCTGCTGACTGATGCAGTAGTGAAGACTACTGTCTGAACCTGACAAGAGAAGATTGGACCAGATATGGTGATTTAGAGGCACAAGAGCAAGATGACAACAACAACATCCACAGGTGAGACAATGCTTTAGAAAATCTGTTTGACTCTAGCACTCTTCCCTTATGTCTTCACTTTATAAAAATAACACACATGTAGCAAAACATTTTCCACATTAATTTTGTGTTGCCTTACTTGAATAAATGTCTGGTATATAAGCACTCGTCTACATTTCTAGGAAGAGGCAAAGTACAAGGTCACAAGAGTGCATCTTTACCTGGTAGCTGTCCACTCATACCTGGCATCAATTGTTCTTTTGTATAGGTATAATTAGGATCAGCAGTCCTGATGTTCCTGTCCAAACCAGGCCTCAGCCAACCAGCTGACTTAAAGACAGACCAAAGTGAAGAGATTGTATACAGGTGAGACAATGCTTTACAACTTTATTTTTCTATGTGAACATATCTAAGCAAAGGGTTGTATGATTGAAGGATTTTATCTAATATTTGATCTTTTATGGTCACTCAATGTTGCCTGGAATTTTTGGGGGAGCATCACACTAATTATTCATCATATCATTTAGGTGTGTCCTGATGTTCCTGTCCTGACGTCCCTGTCCTGACGTCCCTGTCCTGAGTGGGAGAAACATGTGATAATGGACAACTTCTATCCACAGCAGACCAATGATGTCTTGGCAAACCTGTTGAATTGAAGACACAGTGAAGACTTTGTACACTCAGGTGAAACAACGCTTTACAACTTAAAACCTTTTTCTGATTTGTTACAAACCCTGAGGTATAATACACAACCAGTAATGTGTTTAAAAACACGCTTTCTACATCTATTAAAGCATTATGATTACCGGTATCTTTGATGGTTAGTCAGTGTTATCTAAGATGTTTTTGCATCATACTACAGTACTGTAATTATCCTTTCATCCTTATAGTTATGCGTTTCTTGACGTTCCTGTCCTGACTGGGAGAAACCTGTGATGACAGTTGACTTCTGTGTAAACCAGACCAGACCAGGAGTTTGTACCTGTCCATGCAGGTGAGACAATACTTAAAAACTTGAATTTTTCTTTCCTCTTGGATGTAGGAGTATTACAAACTGTGGCATAACATTCTGCCAGTAACAGTTACTAAACACTTCTAAAACCTAAATTTTTGTACATGTATTCAAGCAACTTTTACAACTTACATGACTCATTGCTGTCCTCACATGTACATGTAGAACTTTGACGTGTAAAATGCTGCAAGTACATTTGTAACACTTTTTTTTGTAGAGCCTAACTCTAAATCAAAATCTATTCAATGAATGGGATTGTTGAATTGCATGATGTTATCATTAGTTATGGTTATTCAGTGTTGCCTGGGGATGTTTTTCCATCACACTCACTATTCTTTCTTATTGTTAGGT